TTAAAATGCTTTCTGCTATAATTTTTTCCCAATCCGTCGTGGCGCTTGAAATGACCGAAATATTTCAGCTTCCTAGAAAGGAAGCTGTTTATTAGCGAATCTTCCTTGATGTTCAGATCTTTTAAGATGTCAATATTTCTCCTCTTCTTTGTCCAAGATATTCTGAGAATCTTTTTATAGCATTTTAGCCCAAAAGCCCCTATTCTTTATTCTAAGGACTGAGAGATAGTCCACGACTCACATCCGTATGTAGCCACAGTGAAGATGCATGCTCTCAAAATTCTGATTTCTTAAATATGTAGCGTCTGGTATGTGTGTAGTGGTCGTGTGTGTGTGCGTGCGTGTGCTGGCATGTGTGTAGTGGTCGTGAGTGTGTGTGTGTGTGTGTATATATATTTATATATATCTCAGAGGTGTGAATCGGTATGTATTTGTGTATGTACCATACGAAAGATAGAGGAGGCGTGATTGTGTTTGTAAGAGAGAGATAGAGAGAGAGAAAGAGAGGAGGAGAGACAGATTTTGGCAAATGCAGCCAGCTTTTCCACAAGAGTGCCACGGAAATAATCTGACGTAATACGCACACACACACACACACACACGCGAGCAGACGATACATGCATGATGAAAACACCTGTATGCGCCTATTCTAAAACACATTAGCGCACCGGTACTCCAGGGGAAACATACAGTCACAGGCTCATCAGTGCCTGCTGATGTCATCGATAAATCTTTTCCCTGGCCGCCGTGCTTATTGTCTTCTCCGCTAGCACAAATAATTGTACGGACACGGTCTGTGAGCATTTCTGTGGAACCGGGGAATGTCTTATATCAGTGTTTCTCAAACCGTTTCACACCCGTAGCTCACCTCAAGAAAAAAAAAAAGAAAAAAGCAGAAATAAAAACACATTGAGATGACAGTTTATTTGTTACAGAATTACAGTTTTCAACATTTGTTTATGATATCTGCCGCCGTTTAGAGTTTAGAAAATCGCACAACCATGACTGGAGCTTTGTTTCTCACAGAGAAGCGCTGCAATAACATCCATTGGATTTGTTTGTGTGTGTGTGTGTGTGTGTGTGTTTTAAAATACTTAGTTGACTGAGATATAATTTTCACACAGATAAACATTCGAAAAGATGACAAAAAATTGAAAAGCTCTGTAACTTAGAGATGGACATTTTTCGAGTAAGATTGAATTTTATGTCTGGTAACAAAACTGACATCAGAAGATAACTCTGTCAGATTTTACTTTTCTTTAAAATGTTGGTGGCTCACGGGTTGAAGAACACTGTCCTATAGGAACTGTGTCCCGTCATTGGCGACCCATTTCGTTGGTCCGGATTTCTGTTCTACTCCTCGTCTCCATCAGCTTTCACCTCTCTGCGCCGCCGTGAACATTTTCTGCTCCACTGTGGCAAATCGTTGTACACAACCTGTGGGGACTGTCTTAGTCAGGTTATCCAAACATTGACGGCTCATTTCATGCTTCCCGGTTTCTATCCTTTTGCCTCCTCTATACTTTTTTCTTATCCTCCTCCTCCTCCTCACCCGGGGCCTTCCCGACTGGCATGGACGATCATGCCTCCACGGCGTTACAAAAGGCGGATAAGATCCATGAGCATTTGTGTGTAGAACTGCTGAATGTTTTTTACAGGCTGTCATGTCATCGGCGACTTATTTCATGAGTACTTTCGTGGGTTGAAAGTACCACGGAATCGCGTAGCGGGTTCATAACATTGAAGCCAGGGACGCAGATGCCACAGATGCAGCACTTCTTCTGTTGTCGTCTCACTAATACTAGCAAGTAGTAGGCCGGCGTCGTGGTTTTCTGTGGTTTTCTCCAGTGGCTTGGGTGATGGATTTGTTGGGTGCTCCGTCCACCACAACCAGTAATTCTACAGTTCCGGGCTCTGGGCAGTTGTTGGCAACCGGAAAGTGTCTTATACAGCTTGTCTCAAACAATTGCATCTTGTTTCGCGCGTCCAGATTTCCTTCCTTCTCCTCCAGGCCCTCCTCCCCTCCTCACCTTCTCATCATGCTCATCTCCTCAGTCGCCTCGTTCTCATCCTCTTCCTTGTCTTCCATTCCTCCGTCACCATGCACATTTTCTGCTGTACTGCAGCCACTAATTATACACAACCCAATCTCAAGCCAGTCTTTTATATCGCTTGTGCTAACGTCGACTGCACTCTTCTGGATCTCCGATTTATTTTCCTCCCCCTTCTGTTCACCGTCCTCATTCCCCCCCCCCCCCACCCCAGGCTTTCAGAAAACAAAGGAAGCCTTCCTGGTGTAGCGGCCAGACGCTAGTCTGCTGATCCGAAGATCTTGGGTTCGGGTCCTGGCGGAGCCATACTTATTTCAAAAATAAACTTGGTTTCCAGGTCGACCCAGTCTTCAATGGGTTATGTCCCGGGAAGTCAGAGCGGCCACGTCACCTACCGAACGCCGATTGATCTATAAAATATAGGTCTGGCACTGAAGGCGCCATTACTCTAAGAACACAGTCACAGCCTAGCTTATACTCGCAATGTTGAATAGATGTTTAGTTTTGAATCGACATCTTAGCACTCGGGACTCTGCCCTAAGCGCCCCGTCCCCATCTTCATCAGCAAGCGAAGAGTTCCAATTCGGATGGTACTAGTAACTAACTGTATAATTGTTCATCCGTCTCACCTTTGCCGTGAGTGTTGAGCGTCGACCAGATCCCCTGGTAACTCCTCGCAGCGCCTATCTCCTCAGACCGTAATGATCTATTTGTGCCTCCGCAATGTTCACTCGGTCCCAAAGGGCTGCATTCTAAATAAAACAACCAGAAGTTACTTTGCATACAAGCCTAATCATCTTGTAAGCGGGGACCCATCGGAAAGCTTCTCAGTGAAGAGATAGATGTTTAGTTGCTGGAGAAATGTAGGCGCCGATAACTGGGAAACCATTACTGGGAGTTAACAGCCAGTAAGTGCCACAAGGAGCGGGTGTGACAAAATCCAACACGCAACATGAGCGTCTCTACTCTTCATATCGATCTTCTTGGCTCGACTGTAGTTTTTTGTTTTATGTTTTGTAGGCTGAAAGGTCAGCCACTAATATAGCTCTAATCTCTGTACTTTTGTCTTCCTCTTTAAAAGGGTGGTTGACACTAAGCTGCCTCCTTCAGCCCATCGCGTTCAGTTTCAGCCACTTCTTGCTTTTCCCCGTTACTTCATCGAGTGTTGGGTCAGATGTAAGGATCTTCAGTACGCTGTCACCAGTTCAGTTAAGTTGAATTTCAGCTCATCGAGGCCGTTCATGATTAGTTCAATGAGTAAACCACTGAACGTAAAATTTCCTAGGAAAAGAACAAGAGCAAAAAAAAAAAAAACATATGCTGGCATTGGTTCTGCAACGTCCTATAAAGGATAGGCACCTAACACACACACACACACACACACACACACACACATATATATATATATATATATATATATATATATATATATATATATATATATATATATATATATATATATATATATATATATATGCCCTGTACGACTATATACTGTTTTCTTGTCTGACATATCTAGCCGTCTGTCTGCCAGTCTACATATCCAGCTGTGTATGTCTTTCTCTACCTCACAAGCCACACACACACGCACGCACGCACGCAGGCGCGCGGGCGTGTGCACCCACACTCACTAAAACATCATGTATTCCATACATTCGGTCTGGTGATGATCCTGCCCAACTATCAGCCAGCGGAACATCTGTCACATGACCAGCCCTATCTGCGGCTTTGAACACAGTCAGCCTACTGCTAAGGAAACAATGATTATCTGCTACATTATCGCTTCTCCTTTGGTCTCACCTGCCATGTCTTTTCTGGCCTTTCTGTCTTTTGTTTCCTGAAATTGCTAATTTACGTCTCTCGGCTTGTGAGCGCGGTAGCCATTTTATTTACAGTAGGTAAAGATTAAGGGGACTGCGTGGTCTCGAGACATGGCGTCCGCCTCGAGTTCCAGATGTCCGGGTTCTAGCCCCGGTGAAGGGTTTAAGGTTCACTGGTTGGAAGTTGGACATCGAAAAAGAGGAGCTTAACGGCGCTGCCAGGGCCAAATTTGGAGCTAAAAATCTACCCAAAGTATTTCAGGATCCCCGCCGACGCTACGGAATTCGTGCACTGCGCTGAGATTCTTCAGACTCAGGCCTGATTTAGAAGTAGAACCGAGTATAGGTTGGTTACAACCCTTGTGTCATGATGTTGATCTGTCGTCTAATCCTAATGTATATGGATTGAGCGCATTCTTCTGGACGTTTACAGGATATAGCGTATAATGTTGACCAGTCCGTTTTTCTAATTTGTTTCTCTGACACTGTTAATTTGTTTCTCTGACACTGTTAATTTGTTTCTCTGACACTGTTAATTTGTTTCTCTGACACTGTTAATTTGTTTCTCTGACACTGTTAATTTGTTTCTCTGACACTGTTAATTTGTTTCTCTGACACTGTTAATTTGTTTCTCTGACACTGTTAATTTGTTTCTCTGACACTGTTAATTTGTTTCTCTGACACTGTTAATTTGTTTCTCTGACACTGTTAATATCTTATGAGACCTGACCTTGGCTGCCAGCCTCAAATGGGTACAAGGTAAAGATCTGGATCGCGATGAAAGTCCAGGAGTGGACGAACAACCAGAACTTACCGCCACAGTTTACAGCCATTGAACCATGGAAATGAGGTGTCATATGATATAAAGTCTGCACAGAACCAATTCTAAATATCATACAAAGACAGTAAATTAAATGGTTTGCCCACTTGGAAAGAATGCCTTCTGATGCTACACAATACAGGACCTTATATCTCCCTCCACACCGGAAGCAGTAAAAAAGGGTGTTCTAAGCAGAAGAACTTCAGGCATGTTTTCTATCCTGTCTTCAGCTATTTCACTCTTTGCTTTCAGAAGAACTTCAGGAATGTTTTCTATCCTGCCTTCAACTGTTTGACTCTTTGTTTTCAGAAAACTAGTCAAGAATTTCCATCCAAAGAAAAGAGAGGAGGATGACTGTTCGTAAGTTAAACACATTTAGTCCTTTATTCACTTTTTTGGGGGGTGTTTAATAATAAGGGAAGCCATCATGGTATAGTGGCTAGACACTCACCTGCATATCCGAAGGTTGTGGGTTCAAATCTGAACAGAGCCAGGCTTTTTAACCCCTCTTTCCTATCCTCCTTCCCCACCCCACCAAAAAGAAAACAGTTTACTTTATCCCAGGTGGACCCAGCCTCAAATGGGTACCAGGTGAAGTCGTGGGAAGTAAAAGTGGTCGACATGATGTTGACCATGTTGGCATCACCCACTGAGTACTGATTGTTCTGAAAATGTAGGCCTAGCACTGAATGTCCAGTCCGTCTAAAGGCATGGAAAAGGGTCTTTGTGATCACATCATCATAATAATAATAATGATGATGACCATTAAAGAGGTAAAGTGCGATTTTATTAACTTGAACAAGTGAAGACCACAAAATAAATACCTAGATGGCTTGGCCATATGAATGGAGCAAGACCAGAACACTGACCTGATTTTTGATTCTGGTGATCATGTGAGGCGGTCGCCTAGGCTCGGCACGAGACATGTTGTCGGGTTACACATCAGCAAAACTGAATGTATGGTGGGATCTAAGAAAATACATATTTCCGTTTGCTCTACCTATGTTTAGGACTAAAATAATCTCTGTCATTTTTTTTGAAAAAAAATTAAAGATGGTAATAATAATGATAACAATAATAATGATAGTGTAATAATAGTGATAAAAATAATTGTAGCAATAATAATGGTGATGATACTTATAATGATGATGATAATACTAACTATGATAATAATAATAATAATAATAATAAAGATGATGATGATAAGGATGGCAGTATAATAACGATGATAATGATGATGGTAGTGTAGTAACGATGATGGTAATATAGTAATGATGATGATGACAATGATGGTGTTGCTTCAGGTTCACATGGTCTCATGCTTTTGTGGACATGCTCAAGGAGGTGTTTGACATGGCCGGGCAGCATGAGGTGATTGCCGAGAACCTGGTGGGGACAGTCAGCAAGAACCTGCAGGATCTTATACAGGAACTTAAGGCTGACAGGAAAAAGGTGCAGTACTGGCAGACTGATAGATGTAGTTGTTGTTGTTCATTCACTTTTACAATGGTGGTTACCATCAGGGCTCATGACCTTTGATTTGATGGAAATCACTTGAAAGCAGCTTGATGACATGTGTGTTTTCCTTGATTTGATGGAAATCACTTGAAAGGCAGCTTGATGACATGTGTGTTTTCCTTGATTTGATGGAAATCACTTGAAAGGCAGCTTGATGACATGTGTGTTTTCCTTGATTTGATGGAAATCACTTGAAAGGCAGCTTGATGACATGAGTTTTCCTGGTGGTTTTGTTAACTACAGCTGTCAACATTTCAGCAGTTGTTTCTTGTGTATGTCCCATTTGTGAATATTTGTTTCTTTTGTGTGTCCCATATTGTGAACATTTGTTTCTTGTGTATGTCCCATATTGTGAACATTTGTTTCTTGTGTATGTCCCATATTGTGAACATTTGTTTCTTGTGTATGTCCCATATTGTGAACATTTGTTTCTTGTGTATGTCCCATATTGTGAACATTTGTTTCTTGTGTCTGTCCCATATTGTGAACATTTGTTTCTTGTGTATGTCCCATATTGTGAACATTTGTTTCTTGTGTGTGTCCCATTTGTGAATATTTGTTTCTTTTGTGTGTCCCATATTGTGAATATTTGTTTCTTGTGTATGTCCCATATTGTGAATATTTGTTTCTTGTGTGTGTCCCATATTGTGAATATTTGTTTCTTGTGTGTGTCCCATATTGTGAATATTTGTTTCTTGTGTATGTCCCATATTGTGAATATTTGTTTCTTGTGTGTGTCCCATATTGTGAATATTTGTTTCTTGTGTGTGTCCCATATTGTGAACATTTGTTTCTTGTGTATGTCCCATATTGTGAACATTTGTTTCTTGTGTATGTCCCATATTGTGAACATTTGTTTCTTGTGTATGTCCCATATTGTGAACATATGTTTCTTGTGTGTGTCCCATATTGTGAACATTTGTTTCTTGTGTGTGTCCCATATTGTGAATATTTGTTTCTTGTGTATGTCCCATATTGTGAACATTTGTTTCTTGTGTATGTCCCATATTGTGAACATTTGTTTCTTGTGTATGTCCCATATTGTGAACATTTGTTTCTTGTGTATGTCCCATATTGTGAACATTTGTTTCTTGTGTATGTCCCATATTGTGAACATTTGTTTCTTATGTATGTCCCAAATTGTGAACATTTGTTTCTTGTGTATGTCCCATATTGTGAACATTTGTGCTATTTCTTGCTTCTCCAGATATCAGAATGTAGCCTAGAAGTAGCATATGGCCGGCAACTGCAGGCAACTGTAGTTTTTGAGCCAAAAAGCCAGCAACTGTAGTTTGTGAGCCAAAAAGCAAGCAACTGTAGTTTGTGAGCCAAAAAAGCAAGCTATTGTAGTTTATGAGCCAAAAAGCAAGCAACTGTAGTTTGTGAGCCAAAAAGCAAGCAACTGTAGTTTGTGAGCCAAAAAGCAGGCAACTGTAGTTTATGAGCCAAAAAGCAAGCAACTGTAGTTTGTGAGCCAAAAAGCAAGCAACTGTAGTTTGTGAGCCAAAAAGCAAGCAACTGTACTTTGTGAGCCAAAAAGCAAGCAATTGTAGTTTGTGAGCCAAAAAGCAAGCAATTGTAGTTTGTGAGCCAAAAAGCAAGCAACTGTAGTTTATGAGCCAAAAAGCAAGCAACTGTAGTTTGTGAGCCAAAAAGCAAGCAACTGTAGTTTGTGAGCCAAAAAGCAAGCAACTGTAGTTTGTGAGCCAAAAAGCAAGCAACTGTAGTTTGTGAGCCAAAAAGCAGGCAACTGTAGTTTATGAGCCAAAAAGCAAGCAACTGTAGTTTGTGAGCCAAAAAGCAAGCAACTGTACTTTGTGAGCCAAAAAGCAAGCAATTGTAGTTTGTGAGCCAAAAAGCAAGCAATTGTAGTTTGTGAGCCAAAAAGCAAGCAACTGTACTTTGTGAGAGAAAAAAAAAATAAAATGCCTTTACTGTGAGTATGTAGCACTTTCTATGGCCATGCAGGCATTGAGTGTCATGAGCTTGTTTAAGGATTTTAGGTTGCTATAGACATTGTAGGTTAGGATTTTACTTTTGCAACTAACAGAAAAAACATCACCACCCCTTCCAATGATTTGAACCTGTGTCTCTAGAATGATCACCCAATGTTACCTACCTACTGCACCTACATATATGGGATAAAACTAGAAACTAATACATTGAAAATGCTACTAACCTATTGTAGTTCCAAGTGGTTAGTTTATTGTTGTCACTCACTGAAGGTCATGGTTCCTTCTCTGACTTCATCGTTTAGCAGATAGTGCCCCCCCCCCCCCCCCCCGCCCCCCCCCCCCCCCCCCCCCTCCCACCCAAAAAAATCTACAATGATCATCCCTGGGGATACATAGTTTGTGCTTTCTGTGACACTCTTGGTAGAGGGCTAGCCATATGGGATCAAACCCTGTGCCTTGAAGTTGATCCTGTCACTTTTAAACTTGAGATTTCTCTGAGATAATCATGCCTTGTATATTTCAGTATTTACAAGAGGGTGTCCGATTACAAGACCAGCTTAAACAGTATCATATGCAGCTAGAGAAGGTGAGCCTTTCATCTTGGTACATGGGTTTCTGTGTTGAAGTGATCTAGTCTTTTGTCTCTTGCTCTAAAAGTCATGGGTTTGTTTTGCGGACATGTTGTTTGGTTCACTAATGCAGCTTTTACAGAGGTATGTGGAGATCATCACTGGAGCTGTGGAATTCATGCTTTGTGTGATGCTTTCAACAGGTAGCCAGTGGTTCTGAGGAGAGAGATGGGATACAAATTAGTGAGGTGAAATCAATCATATTGACTTCAAATGTGTTGCCTGTTGCCATCATCTATTAGTTAGGCTTGAGTAAGTATCAGTCAGCATACCCAACATTTATTAATAGCTTGTAACATAATTTAAAGCAGTGTTTCCTACTGTGGGGGCCCATGCTATCATTTATGTTGTGTTGTAAGGCAGTTGTATGCTGAGAGAGGCGGGAGCCAGAAGACAACTTATCACAGACATCAGAAGGAGAAAAGTCATCATTTTTCGGCCATGTTATGAGAAGAGGAAAAATAAAACATGTTGTGACCACTAGAAAAATCTGTGGAAGGAGGGATAGAGGAAGACAGAGAAGATTCTCGACAGTCTTTTTGCTTATCATGGAGGTGTGTCAGCACACAAACTGATACATGCTGCAGGAGATTGCGGATTGTGGAGAGGCATGATCACCAATGCCAGTCGGCAAGGCACCTGATGATGGTGATGATGTATGGCAGTGAATCTTGGTATGTGAGCAAACAAATTAAGGAGTTTGGAGGCACTTGAGATGTGCTTCTTAAAAAGAATGTTGCGAATACCTTGGACTACTAGAATAACTAATAAGGATTGCCTGGAAATGGCTAATGAAAGTAGAACATATACAACAATGAAAAGGAGAAAAACAAATTTCGGTTTTATATCTTTTCTTTATATTGTCCGCAGGCAAAACGCAAATATGAGAAAGCATTCTATGAGTCTGAGAGAGCCCTGGACAACTACAGGAAGGCAGATGCTGATATCAATTTGTCTAGGGCAGAAGTGGAAAAGGTAATTTATGTGTTGAACAAGGTATATTGCTTTCTTTTTCATTTCTTCTTCATCTATTTGTCCTTTTTGTTCACTTTCTTTCTGTGTCTTTCTGTATTTATCTGCCTTCTCTCTTTGTTCCTGTTTCTCTTCTGTCTTTGTCCTCTTATTTGCTCTCTTTATGTCAGACCTTTTGGGTCTGATCATATTCCATATCTGACAGTTCAAAGGCTGGTTATGTGTAACCTCTTACATCACTACATCCACTATGGGATTGGAGGTGGAGGCAGCAGTGGCAGCTTCTGATGACTTGAGAGCAGCTCAGCCCAGTATCTTGTAATTGTAACAGAGTCACAGGGCATGCTTTGGAAATTTTAAACTGGCGTCCAGCGCACAGAATGGCCTGCATCATTTGATAAGACTCAGGTCTGGAGCATAGCATGGAATATCTGTCCAGGGTATTCAGGTAAATGAGGTAACAAGCAGGCTGATAGATCAGCTGTTGGCGTTCCTCTGGGTGGTGAGCTGCTTTGTGATAAAGCAGATATGGTGAAGGCTCTCTGCGATCAACTGGACAGTGCAGACGAAAGGACAGAATCCATACATGGAAAACTGTATTAACGAGGGGTGAGTAGAGGTATTCAACACTGAGGGAGAAACCTAAGCGGACTTTTGATCAGGTTGCAGCTGGTAATCTGGTAATCTTATTTCAGCTTCATAGCCAACAGGTCGCCCCATAGTTGTCCACTCCTGTGCCAACGAAAAACACATAAAATGTTTATAACAGTTCAAATTAAATCTGCAGCTCACAGTGTTACGCCATGCACTCGGAAGCTGGGCAACGAAACTATATCCTTCCAGTCTACAAATGGAGCAAAAATGCAACAGCCATCGTCTGGCAAAAGCAACACACACACAAAATTTGCCGTGGCTACAAAAAGGGGCAGTGCCTAGTGTCCATTTTGATCTGAAACATTTTTTGAGGGTTAAAAAACGGTCACTACAGCAGTACCCTCACTATTTGCTGGGGAAGGGGCTTCAGGACATTACATTCACCAGCAAGCATCGTCCCTATAATGACCTGACTGCCTTCGTTAACAACTGTCACCCAACAGCCATGCAGTTCTTTGGCACGAAGTTGGTACTATCAGCATGCTGACATTTCATTGGCTAGTTAAGTAGAGGATGGATCATGTACGGGTATCTCCCAAGTGATGTCAGTTTGTGATCCATTCATTCATTGTTCTATTACTTTCTCTCTCTTACCTTGCTCCTACCTCTTTTTAAATTTCTCTAATTTCCCCTCTTTCATGTCATTCCACAACAGTTAGCAAGCACACAAGACAGAAGCCTGCGGCTGTAGTCAATCATGAAAAGTAACAGCACATGGCATGCATTGTAACAAGAAGAACTTTGCAATTGCTTTCTGAATGATAACCTCTAATGTCGCTCACAAAATCAGTTACTACACAGCGCCTGGTATTGAATTGTCTGCATCTGATTTTCAACCAAGAATTGTCAGAATTATGAACTGCATTCATGACTCCTAAACCACAGATAGTAATAAGAGACTTTTTATATGATGTTGAGAGCTTATGCTCCACTGGGGGATACAAAGCAGTATAATAGTAAATAAGAAGTGCATCTAAAAGGTGTTTGTTTTTAAATAAGGCATTAGCATAAGCTGCTTGTTATTGCCTTAATAACACAGTGATATTCAGTAAGGCCCAATATGGGTCCTGGGACCCCGGGGGGAGGGGGGGGGGGGTTAAAGAACAGACTCACTGCCACTCTAAACAACATGTCATAAAAGGTGACTAATTGTGAGTGTCAATCTGATGTACTTACTGGACTGAAAGATACAGATCCGAACTGTAAACCTCAACACCACTTGCCAAATGTCGTTCCTGTGGCAAACGTAGAAGAAGAAGCCGCAGATATTAGAGGGGCATGTCAACTTTTGTTTGTGATAACTCTTTGCTTATTTAACCAAACAGAAGCTGTGATTAATAATATCATTGTGAATTTCAGCATCGGATTGTCATGAATGGTAAAACACAACAGTGTGAAGAGAGCAAGAACGAATATGCAGCCCAGTTGCAGCACTACAACAACCACCAGAATGAGTTCTATTCACAGTCAATGCCACAAGTGTTTCAGGTAGGTCACCATCTGGCAAACTCACAAGTTAGTTAATCCACCAAACATCCTCATTGGGAACATCTGTAAATGCTCTGATTGCATCTTCAAAATGTCCCTCAGAGTGTGGCCACTTCTTCTTTGACTGCCTGTATAGTGTTCAAGTCTGGGTACCAGACTAATTAGTGTTTCAGGTGAGCCGTCACTGGGGAACTCAGAAGTGTTTAGCCATGACTGCATTAGTAATGTCAGCAGAGTTTGTATAATATCAGGAGAAGACATTGTAAACATTGGGAAAGTGCATTATAATATCAGGAGAGGACATTGTAAACATTCGGAAAGTGCATTATAATATCAGGAGAGGACATTGTAAACATTAGGAAAGTGCATTATAATATCAGGAGAGGACATTGTCAACATTGGGAAAGTGCATTATAATATCCGGAGAAGACATTGTAAACATTAGGAAAGTACATTATAATATCAGGAGAAGACATTGTCAACATTGGGAAAGTGCATTATAATATCAGGAGAGGACATTGTAAACATTGGGAAAGTGCATTATAATATCAGGAGAGGACATTGTAAACATTGGGAAAGTGCATTATAATATCAGGAGAGGACATTGTAAACATTGGGAAAGTGCATTATAATATCCGGAGAAGACATTGTAAACATTAGGAAAGTACATTATAATATCAGGAGAAGACATTGTCAACATTGGGAAAGTGCATTATAATATCAGGAGAAGACATTGTCAACATTGGGAAAGTGCATTATAATATCAGGAGAAGACATTGTAAACATGGGGAAAGTGCATTATAATATCAGGAGAAGACATTGTAAACATTGGGAAAGTGCATTATAATATCAGGAGAAGACATTGTAAACATTAGGAAAGTGCATTAAATATCAGGAGAAGACATTTTAAACATTGGGAAAGTGCATTATAATATTCGGAGAAGACATTGTAAACATTGGGAAAGTGCATTATAATATCAGGAGAAGACATTGTGGAGTCAGGAAAGTGCATTATAATATTAGGAGAAGACATTGTAGAGTCAGGAAAGTGCTTTATAATATCAGGAGAAGAATTGAGTGTCGCACAAAGCACAAAATCTGTAGCTCCCTTAATAATGCTAAGGGGTCTCCACGGACTGAACGACACCACTGTAAAGGCAACCTATGACCTTCAGGCTTGACCACTTCACCATGGAGGCTTGTAAGTTTACTGGATGAGGCGACCAGTTCTCTTTGTCTCAGACTTCAGAAGGCCTGTTACAGATAGTACTAGATACAGCACAAACTTGGCTATAAAACTCTAGGAAGGAAAGGAAAATATGCACACAAATATAGCTGAACATTTTAAGCAAAATCTGTTGTCAGTGGAAGACTCAATACAACACATGGTGCAACTAGAAAACTCAGTGGACAAGACAATTAATTTTATTAACAACTAACGTCAGCATGAAACTACAAAAACTTGATATGAAAATTTATGAACTCAAAGGTCTTTTTTGCGAAACAAAACGAATAAGGTGTTTGGAAAAAAAAACCTATGGAGAAGTTAAAAAAAAAAAAAAAGTTGAAATTAAGTAACATAAACTTTTTAAAAATATAGTTATGCTGAATATTGATCCCTGCAGGACTGAAAATAAAAAACTGAATGAAACGATTGTCCTAGGTGTAGCGGGTGGTTTGATCACCGGAGCAAGATGTTATAGCAGTAACTGAGATATTGTTTTTATGCTTTTATGTTATCGCCTACACTAGATATATTTACAGTATCACACACAAAGGTGAACTGAAGCTGGTATGAGATGGGTTTAAACCCTTCTCCCTAGGATTTAAAACAAGCATTCCACTTTCATCTTTGCATTAACATGATTCTCTATTTACTCACACATTTGTCCCACTGATAATTTTTACATACACTTTTTTTCTGGTTGTTGCCATGGAACAATGCACAGTTTTTATATCCTTTTTCTTTTTAATTAACATTTTTTTTTATCTATGCATTTTTGATAGCTCATTTCCAGAGATCTGTTGCTGCCCTGACGCCGTAAGGCATTCCATGAGTAGAGAGAAGAAGAAGAAGAAAAAGCTCATTTCCAGCATATGTTTGTTTTTTTTAGCTTAGAACTGATTCCATGTTATAATTATTTCTAGCTTGTAATCATTTACAATTTATGAATGTTTTTTAGATTATGATCATTTTTAGCTTGGAATTATTTTTAATCTTATCATTATTTTCAGTTTATGGTTATTTTTAGTTTATATTTATTCATTCTTATCATTATTTCTAGTTTGTGATCATTTCTAGTTATAATAATTTCAACCCTATAATTTCTAGTTCTAAATGAAAATTTTCACCTGATCTGTTGTCTGTCTTTTCATACCTGTCTGCAGGTTTCTCACCTATCTGCAGGTTTCTTACCCGACTGCAGGTTTCTCACCTGTCTGCATGTTTCTCACCTGTCTGCAGGTTTCTCACCTGTCTGCAGGTTTCTCATCTGTCTGCAGGTTTCTCACCTGTCTGAAACTTGTCTGCAGGTTTCTTACCCGACTGCAGGTCTCTCACCTGTCTGCAGGTTTCTCACCTGTCTGCAGGTTTCTCATCTGTCTGCAGGTTTCTCATCTGTCTGCAGGTTTCTCACTTGTCTGAAACTGGTCTGCAGGTTTCTTACCCGACTGCAGGTCTCTCACCTATCAGCAGGTTTCTCACCTGTCTGCAGGTTTCTCACCTGTCTACAGGTTTCTCATCTGTCTGCAGGTTTCTCACCTGTCTGAAACTTGTCTGCAGGTTTCTTACCCGACTGCAGGTTTCTCACCTGTCTGCAAGTCTCTCACCTGTCTGCAGGTTTCTCACCTGTCTGCAGGTTTCTCATCTGTCTGCAGGTTTCTCACCTGTCTGCAGGTTTCTCACCTGTCTGCAGGTTTCTCACTTGTCTGCTGGTTTCTTACCCGACTGCAGGTCTCTCACCTGTCTGCAGGTTTCTCACCTGTCTGCGGAATCTCGTTGCTTTAAGTTTATATTTAGTGTGTTGTCTGCATGCCCTTGTTAATTTTCTCTCTCTCTTTCTTTTTCTGTCGTCCATTCTTCTTCTTTGCATTCATTGGCTGTAAACTCTGGTGGAAACTTCTGGTTGTTTGTCCGCTTCTTGATTCGATCTTGTTCCAGAACTTGAGTTTTGCATGCACATGCACCTTACAGATCTGGCTTATTGGTGTGCAGACTGTTGGGTTTTATCCTGAGTGAATACAATCACCACAAGCGTGTCCGCACTAGTCCGTTTGTTCAACATATGTTTCAGTGAATACAATCACTACAAGCGTGTCCGCACTAGTCCGTTTGTTCAACATATGTTTCAGTGAATACAATCACTACAAGCGTGTCCACACTAGTCCGTTTGTTCAACATATGTTTCAGTGAATACAATCACCACAAGCGTGTCCACACTAGTCAGTTTGTTCAACCTATGTTTCAGTGAATACAATCACCACAAGCGTGTCCGCACTAGTCCGTTTGTTCAACATATGTTTCAGTGAATACAATCACCACAAGTGTGTCCGCACTAGTCCGTTTGTTCAACATATGTTTCAGTGAATACAATCACTACAAGCGTGTCCGCACTAGTCAGTTTGTTCAACCTATGTTTCAGTGAATACAATCACCACAAGCGTGTCCGCACTAGTCCGCTTGTTCAACATATGTTTCAGTGAATACAGTCACCACAAGCGTGTCCGCACTAGTCCGTTTGTACAACATATGTTTCAGTGAATACAATCACCACAAGCGTGTCCGCACTAGTCAGTTTGTTAATTATGTTTCAGTGAATACAATCACCACAAGCGTGTCTGCACTAGTCAGTTTGTTCAACATGTTTCAGTGAATACAATCACCAAAAGCGTGTCTGCACTAGTCAGTTTTTTCAACATATATTTCAGGTCCCCCCACGGCTTTGGATACTTACTTTGGTATTATCACCCCTGTTTTTTTTTTACCTGTCTACTCTCTTGTCTGTCTGTTCTCTCTATGCTTTCTTGCTTGTGTGATGTATGTATGCTTTCTTGTCTCTCTGTCATTTCTTGTCTGTCTGATGTATCTGACGTATCTTGTCTGTCTGATATATCTGTGCTTTCTTGTCTGTCTGATCTGTCAATCCTCTCCTGTCTGTCTGTCTCTGTCTTTCTGAGTGACTGTCAGTCTGTCTTGTGTTGACATCTGCATGCCCTGTCTGTGCTCTTTTGTATATTAGTTCTGTCCTGTCTAGTGTGTCTGTTCTGTCTTTTTCTAGTGGGTCTGTTCTGTTCTTTTCTAGTGTGTCTGTTCTGACCTTTTTGGCCTGTCCTGTTCTGTTCTTTTTTCCTAGTTTTTCCTAGCCTTTTGTTATGTCTTTTATAGCCTGTCAATTCTTTCCTTTATATCCTGTCCTTTATAGCCTGTCTGTCCTGTCCTTTTTAGTCTGTTCTGTCCTGTATAGCCTGTCTATTCTTTTCTTTATATCCTTCTTTTCTTTATATCCTGTCCTTTCTAGCCTATCCTGTTATGTTGTCCTTTCTAGACTGTCTATTCTATCTTTCCAAGCCTGTCTGTTCTGTTGGTCCTTTTTGGACTGTCTGTTCTATCTTTTGCAGCCTTTCTGTTCTGTTTGTCCTTTTTGGACTGTCTGTTCTATCTTTTCCAGCCTGTCTGTTCTGTTTTTTTTTTGTTGGACAGTCTGTTCTATCTTTTCTAGCCTATTTGTTCTTCTCTTGTCTGTATATTCTGTTTGTTCTTTCTTGTCTGTCTGTTTTATCCTTTCTTATCTGTTCTGTCTGTACCTACTTGCCTGTCTGTTCTCCATGTCCACTCTTGTCTGTTCTGACTTTTTTTTTTTCTTTTTTGTCTGGCTGATCTGTCTGTTTTGCCTGTTCTTCTTGCCTGCTATATCCTTTCTGTTCTGTCTGCCCTTACCAGCCTGTCCCTTCAGGGTGTTCAGTCTTGTCTTTTGTCTGTCTATCCTTTTTTTTTTTTTGGC